GAGAAGCAAGTTATCTGTTCTCTGACTTCCATGTCTGTTCAGCACATGGATACACACATGTATATACATACCCATACATGCACATAAAAGAAAAAGAAAAATAATGAAAACTAGAAAGTAATTCTTTAAAAAGTACAGAGAGCCTACCTGCAGGCCTCTCTCTGGGGTAAGTCCATCACACCTCTGGGCCTTGACTCCCACAGACTCACTCACCCTCCCATCTCCCCCGCTCTTCTCTCCTCCTAGTTTGGGTCCTGTCCCATTCCTTGTCTTGGCGCCCCAGACACCTGGAGAAGCACCACTGCTTCTTCCTGATCCTGTGCATCCAGAGCAACTCAGTTCTTTCTCAGGTCCCCAGGAGCACTGCTTCTGGGCCTGGCCCAGCCCTCACCTCCCTCTGCCTCCCTGGGTCTGGGCAACCCTCCGGCCTCTTTCCTAGATGCTGGGGCTGACCCTTCCTCTTCCTGGTCCTTTGCATCCAGACCAACCCAGGTCCTCAGTGCAGTAGTCAGGGCACCTTGGGGTGCTTCCCGCCCTCATCACCCTTTGCATTTCTGGCTGGCACGGCCACCAGCTGCCCTAGACCAGCATCTTTCCTGGGCCTGGTTCCCAGGTCAGTCCAACCCCCAAACTCCTGAGGCCAAAATCTATCCTGGAGGGATCCAGACCTTAGAGGAAAGCCTGAGAGCATCTGATCCTCATCTGAATTGGGACTCTGTGGGAACTCCTGAAGACAAAAGCAATCTGGCCACCCCAATATAAAATCAAAGGAGAGACCCGGAAGCTTATACGAAACATCATGTCATGCCCAAACAATAAACCACAAAAGAACATAAAGTTTACAAAAACAAGAAGACCTAAACTTGAAGACTTGAGTCTCGCACAAGAATCAGAAACTACAAAAGAAATTCACATGTCAAAATAACAGAGAAAAAATAATAACATGAAAAACCAAAATAACATATACCCACCAAATGCCAATAGTCTTCTAGAGGAGTACAATGAGAACCCCCAGAGATAATGCAGGAGATGGAACTCAAAGGAACAATTATAAACATGATAAAAGAATTCAGTGAATTTAAAGAACACACAAAGAAATCAAAGAACTGAAGGAAGATAGGGATAAACTTCTGAATGAATTCAGAAAAGAGCTAAAAATAATGAAGAATACTCAGGCTGAAATGAAGAAAGAAGTGAAACACTCAGTAAGCCTACTAGAAACAACAGGAGAAAGCCTCACCAATAGGGTGAATGAAATGGAAAACAGAGTATCAAGACTAGAAGATGAAATGGATGAACTAGACCGAAGATGAAATGGATGAACTAGACCACTCAAGCAATGATTATGAAAAATTTAAGAAATCACAAGAATGGAATTGTGTGACACCATAAAAAGACCAAACTTAGGAATCATAGGCATTCAGGAAGGAGAAGAATCCCAAGAAAATGGCATGGACCAGATCTTCAACAGA